AATTGTTATCGACATATCAAAATTTATAATTAGAAAAAGTCTAAAAAATGGCTATTTTGAAATTTAATAAAATAATAATACATTATTTTATTATATAATAAAAAAATTGTTTTTAATAAATATGCCTTGAACGTAGTCAATAATTAAAAAAAAAATTCAACAAAAGAATAATTGTATAATAAGGTTAAAAATGTTATTAATTAGATCTGACTCAGATCATCTGAGATCTATTTTTACAAACTTATCTTTTATGTTTTCAAAATTTGTTAATTACCTATTAATTTTAAATACATATATATAATTTATATATATGATTAATGTATTATAGTTTATTGAGAAGGTATTGGTTTTACTATAATGTGTTTTTTTTTTTTTTTGTGTCTGTTACCACTTTTTCTCAGCTCTCACGGAACGGATTTCTTTCAACTATACGTCAAAATATCACAAATCGTATCTAGTCAAAGACATTACCCTCAAATATTGAAAAAAATTTCCCTCATTCTCCGTAAATGGGGCAAACCTCCAAAAAAATTACAAATTTAAAAATCGCTAATTATCAAAATTTTTTCAATTTTTTTTTCTTAAAACTGGCATTACTTTTTCAAAAATGAACAAATCACTATAATTTTTATTTTATATAGATGCATAATATCATTACCTTTCATTTGGTATATTGTTTTCATAAATTTAACTCTTTACCTGCCCACAGGGGGGATTTAAAATGACAACATTTTCACAACAAATTTACTTTTTCAACATAACTTTTGAAAATGTTCCGGAAGGTCGGACACTTTTATATATATTTTAAATTAAAGGTAATGTAATATACTTTGTTATGGAAAAAAAAAATTTGACCTCTGGACTTGTCTTCATGGTGAAAACGGCTACCAAATGATATTTTTGTGTGAAAATTCTTGATTTCATTTTTTTCATTTTTAACTTTATAATGCTATAATTTATGAAAAGTGTATGGATCAACACAATTTTTTTATGAGAAATAATATTTTTTAATAATCCCTTTTTCATTCAGGATATTAATAAGAAAATAGCAGATCATGTTGCTTTTGGAATAATCCAGTAATTTTTTAAAAGTAAACACTATCTAAAGATTAGCTTCGAAGCGTTTTTTTTTATAGTGATTTTAATCACTGTCAGATATCATCTATAGTTGTCCCAACTATGCCACGTCACCACTGTGTCGCGACCCCCCTGTGCTGGGTTTTTTTTACCACGCTTTTATCACAACTACTTGAGGTGGGCTACCCTTATCCTAAACTTTCACTTGAAACAATCTTCCATATCGTCTACGCACACATTAGCCGTCCTCATATTGCATTAAATAACATCTCTTTATATCTTTATATCAGTACCTTAATACTATACCTCTATTTTTTTGGAATTTTTCCAAATAATTCAATTTTATTAATGTTACGTATCGATAAAATTTAATATTTAAATATTATTATTTAATATTATATAAATTAGTTGTGGGCATTGTCCACTACTCGCCAGTGCGAACATCGGCACACACACCATTAACAAGTATATTGTTTCTCAATATTTTATGCCAACAACACCTTAAATTTGTCATACTTCTACTGGCACTTCATCTGGTCCTTCTGCTTTATTATTTTACATTGATGCCACAGTCTGCCATACCTCATTCTCACTAATTTAATCTACCAGTCCCTTATACCATGAGATATCTTCTAATGTCTCTCTTGGATACTCCTCATTCAGTTATTTTTCAAAATACTCTTTCCAGATTTTTTCACATCATCATCGTTCGTTAATACCCTCTTATCATCGCTTTTTATACACCTTAAATTGCGATAATCATAAGACTTTTTTTCATTTTCCTTTATTTCTAGTCAATAATAAAACTCATAATACTTCTTAACTTTTGTCTTATTTACCACACATTTGGCTTTTTATAAAAGCGCTTGCACTACTTCCAATCTTCTCTCATTTAGCTCTTTTGCTACACTTTAAACTGCTCTTTCTTACTCTCTATGCCTCATTTATTCCACTAAACTTATATCCTCCATGTACTCTTTCATATCTTATCGCTCATTATCTACATGTTCATTTATATCTCTATCTACACCTCATCCTCGTTACCAGCTATTGCATCACCTTATTCATCTCAAAAATACTTATTTGTTTATTTCATCCCACTTGTTGTGCATAAGTACTGATTGTTCCGGAAAGTCTGACACTTTTATATATATCTTAAATTAAAGCTAATGTAATGTACTTTATTATGAAAAAAAAATGTAGGACTTTATTTAGTTTTCACGGTGAAAACGGACATCAAAGTGTAAGAACATTTATTACTGTGTTCTTACCACTTATATTACACACGTTTTATTTCTATTTATTTAATTCGTAATACATTTTAATTAGCATAGAGGGAGATGCTGATGTGGCAATCCTACTCGTCTGTAGCCCGGAACTACTGACGTCAAACTAACAAAGGGCAGTTGTGTTTGAGTGGCCGTAATAGACATAGTTTTCAATACTATTACTTTCGTCTTATTTATATTATTTATAACTTAACTTGTTTTATCAACGACCCGTCTATCGCCAATTGTCATCATAGCCAACCAACTCCGTCTCACTTGGATATACCTATTAACCAACTGTACTAGGAATCAGGTGAGACGTATTGTACATTAAATTTAACTTATATTTACTGAACATCTAAAATATAATTTTATTTAGTTTTCATGGTGAAAACGGACATTAAAGTTAATAAAAAAAAACTTCTCAGTTTCGCTTTGAACCTATAAGAAAAGTACAGTCAGAATCAAACGATGTATTTTTGTAAAATGTGTCGATGCATATTTATAATAATTTTTTTTTTAATTTAAAATTGTCATTAAAAATTAAACTTGAGAGGCAGGCTACTCATAAAAGTCAAGTAGTCAGAACTTTTTATTACTAATAAAGTACATTAAATCAGCTTTAATCTGATCAAATTTAGAATAATGTCCTTATAGTACACAAAAAAACTAAAAATTCATCATTTAAAACGAAAATTATATGATTTTTAGCTGTTATTTTTTTCATTTGATGCGTAAACAAGAGGCTAACATTAGCTTAATCTACGCATCATACCTAAAATAATAAAAATAATGATTGTATCTAAAAATATCTTATAATGTTTTTTATTATTTACCTATTTCTAAAAAATTACATTTAGCAATTATAACTATATTCTGACACATGTCTTTCATTAAATAATTGTTTAAATCCATCTGTTCCTATACTATTATTGAATTTTGTACCATTTTTTGTCTTACGAATTAATATTTAATTTAATATTATCACTCTTTTTTAAAGAAAACGTTTTTACTATTCGCCCTACAATGAAACTAATACAACTGAGTTATTTTTTTAAATAACTTTTAAATATTGTAGATAATATTATTACCAAAATTAATTATTATAGTGTTAAAATAATTATTTATTATATAAAGTGATGTCCTAAATGTAGGCTCGGGACTTGAGATATGTCTTTGTATTTTAAGGGTCAATTTCTAACGCCGACTCGACATATATGCAAAATAAAAAAACCCAGCACAGAGTAGGTCGCGGAACAGTGGTGACGTGGCATAGATGGATCAAGTATAATGATATCTGACAGTGATTAAAATCACTATAAAAAAAAAACGCTTCGATGCAAATCTTTAGATAGTGTTTACTTTTAAAAGATTGGTGGATTATTCCAAAAGCTTCATAAACTGCTAGTTCCTTATTAATATCCTGATTAAGACAAAGTATGTCAAATGAAAAAGGGATTATTAAAAAATAGTATTTCCCATTAAAAAATTATATTGATCAATACACTTTTCAATAAGTTATAGCATTATAAAGTTAAAAATGTAAAAAATAAAATTGAGAATTTTCACACAATAATAGCATTTGGTAGCCATTTTCACCGTGAAGACGAAATAAAGTCCGAAATTTTTTTTTTAATAATAAAGTAGATTACAATAGCTTTAATTTAATATATATATATAAAAGTGTCAGACTTTCCGGAACACTTTCAAAATTTAAGTTGTAAAAGTAAATTTTTTGTGAAAAAGTTGTCATTTTGAGTCCCCCCCTGTAGGCAGGTAAAAAGTCAGATTTATAAAAAAAATATACCAAATGATAGGTATAGCTATCATGCATCTAAAAAAAAAAAAGAATTATATTGATTTGTTCATTTTTGAAAAAGTTATGGCAGTTTTTAGTAAAAAAAATTTCGAAAATTTCGAAAATTAGCGATTTTTAATTTGTAATTTTTTTGGAGGTTTCCCCTGTTTACGGGGAATGAGGGAATTTTTTTCAATTTTTGAGGGTAATGTCTTCGACTAGATACGATTTGTGATCTTTTGACGTATTCTTGAAAGAAATCGGTCCAGTGAGAGCTAAGATTGAGAGGTAACAGACACAAAAAAAAAATAAAGTAAAACAAATTAATATTAAAATTAGTATCNAAAAAAAAACATGTTAATATTAAAATTAGTATTTTCTCAGATTCGCATTGAAGCTAAATAATATTACTTGCTAATATTATTTAAAATCGAGTTCTTACGTTTCTATAACGGTAAGCTAAAACATCTCTCGATATGATTATTTTTACCATCAAGGGAATTTATCAACGCTCTTTCTACCACCTAGNATTATTTTTACCATCAAGGGAATTTATCAACGCTCTTTCTGCCACCTAGATTAAAAATATAAGTCCTAAACATAAGCTAATAATTATTAAAATATAAATTATACTTTTAAAAAATTTAATTAAGAAATTAAAGTTCGACTATATTACAATAATTATTTTCAGTAGGAAACAAATTTAAAAATTCATAAGTAAATACTATTAAAAAGAAAAAATTGTGCATTTTTATTTAAAAATATGGTTATAAATCTTTTATACGTAAATAATATTAATATAAACCATTTGTATATATACTAGATATAAACTTGTAGTTTGACATTAACTAAAAAAATTTAAATTTAAATTCGTGTAATACTCAATTAACGATAATAAAATGTTAGTCTATATTTTAGTTGTAAGCTTTATTACAATAATAAATTTTAATTATATAGTTTCAACTCAAATTAGCCTCAACTGTTTATATTCTAAATATATGTTATATTATATGAATACTAAAGTAATCCTTTTCCAAAAACTTGAATTAATAAATCCAATTCCTGTTGGTAAAATTGAAGAATTAGAAGATGAACTCAAATCAATGGGTGAAGTCGTATTAATTATGCTTGAAAATATCTATTATGACTTTGAAAACAAAACTAAAAGTTTAAATAAATATGAATACAATTTTCATAATCCATATATAAAAAAAGTAGATGGTTTGTTAACATTAAATTTGTATTTAAATAATTTTTCTGAATATTTTAAGCTTAGATCAAATAGCCAATTAAATTCTCAAGAAAAAAAATTAAATGAAACTAACAATTTTATAAAACGATTTCAACAAAATCATCCTATTATTATAGAAAATTTAAAAAAAAGCATAAGTATTGCTTGTTTAAACGGAAAAACTTCTTCTTTTAATATTCTATTCTTTTGCTATGATCAAAATTATCAGAAATCATATCCAGATTTTGAGTATTTAAATAAATTATTACCGAAACATTTAAATTACAATGTATATGAAATTGTTGATAATAATTTGAATAAAATGAAGACAATGGAGATTTTAGACGACTCTGAAGTTGATTTGCTGTATTATTTAAAAAAAAAACCAGAACGGGATAATAATACTGAAAAAATGATACGAAATCATTTTCATCCGAATAATATATTACTATCAGGCCTATTTAAAGATAAAAGAACCACAAATGGAATAGATTTATTAACTGGTAGTCCTGACCCTATGAATTTATTTAGAAGTGTACCTATAGATGCAAAATTAGAAAATGGAAATTTCGCAAACGTCACTACATTATATGAAATGATACAACATGATATTGATATACAGTGTTTTATATCATATCAAAGACAAATTATAGTAGCTACGATTCACCCTGTATATTATTGGATTAGTACATTTACACAGTTACTGAAAAAAATTTTTTTTAGTGAATCTAATAATATTAGTGAAATAGAAATTCGAGCTAATATATTTGAAGTTGAATTAGGACTCTTAGGTGATACAATCCAGAAAGTAATAAGAACTTTAATTAGTTATAAATTGTTCCCGGAAAACGTACAATTTCATCTCGAAGCTTCTTTAATGCAGATTGTTGAAATTACTAAGTTTTTAAAAAAAGATCATATCAAAACTCTAAAAGTTAAATGGATTGATCAACTTTATGGTAGATGTGCCAGTATAATGAAAATCCATTTATTAAAATTTGGAATTGATGTAAATTTCCCTAAAGTGTACCATGAAGAAGATTGTAAAAAAATAATAATTAGACTGAAAAATAATATCAAAGAAGTTCAATTATATGTTGAAAATTTAATTCATTATAAAAAAGATTATAACAATATATTTATTCCAAAGCAATTATTTTCCAGTGATTTTATATTTGATTATGAGCTAAGATGTAATGTTGTAGAAAAATATAAGCGGGGTATGTATTTCACTTTCAATTTTTTTTATTTTACTAAAATATTTATTATTCAAAATTGCCATTATATTTATAATTTGTTCGTATTTGTTATTTTTATCTATATTTTACAAAATAACTTGCATAAATAGTAAGGTGCAATCATTTTTATTTTTAATTACCCTGCTGTGTTTGAACAGTAACAATTAGAAATAAATTTATTAATCACACAATTAAGAAGTAAATGGATTTATGGATTTTTCTCTTTGATCGGTTTTATTTATAATACAAAGTCATCAACCTTTGTTGTATTGATAGTTATGTACTGAGTATCCCACCGTTATTTACTAATTTAACTATATAATTTATTGTTAAAATTAGTAAATCACGGTAGGACACCTTATATAAATGTATTATAGCATTTTTTTAGTTTTGACTTTATTGAAGATATTTCTCAGTTAACCAAAAGCTTCCATTGTAGTATTAATTGTTTAGTTGACAATAATAAGTTAAAGGTTATCAACCTAAGACTTTTGTAACCACTTTACATCTACAGTACTTATAATTAGGAAGATATTTAGTTGCTTATTTACCGAGCGAAACATAAAAATATCATACTTCCATATCATTTCAATTTTATTATAATGTGTGTTTTTTGTGTCTGTTACCACTTTTTCTCAGATATCGAACCGATTTCTTTCAACGATACGTCAAAACATCACAAATCGTATCTAGTCGAATAAAATACCCTTATAAATTGGAAAAATTCACCTCGTTCTCTATAAATAGAGGAAATCTTCAAAATTTAAAAATCGTTAATTTTCGACATTTTTTCAATTTTTTTTACTTAAAACTGCCATTACTTTTTCAAAAATGAACAAATCAATATAATATTTATTTTTTTAGATACTTTATGTCTTAACCTACCATTTGGTATACTTTTTTTTATAAATTTAAACTTTTACCTGCCCCCCCTGTGGGTTAATATTTATAATTATTATATTGACATCTTAATATAAACATTTTTAAAATGAGTATTTTTATTTTGTTTTAGTTTATCACTTTATGGATAAAATGAAGTAATTATGAAAAAAATTCAATACATTCATAACATAATACTTGTTAATAACGTAGCTTAACAAACTTTAGTTTATGAAATGTTTGAGTATATTTTATTTTTGATTCCAATATTTTTTTTGGTGCTTAATCACGAAATATCATTAATTTTTCTCTGTCATCAATATAGCTACTACAATTTCAATACTTGTAAAACTACTATATTTGCTTAAAAATGTAATTAAAAAAAAAATAAAAATTTTTTCCCAATATCTCTCTATTAAGTTTGTAGTATCTTGATGTATATTACATTACAGTACATGCAGTACTTTGTGTATATTTTGATACCATTCCATGAAGTTATACGTTTGATATTCCATTTACAAAATTGAGTTTTATAGAAGTCATAAAAAAGTTAAAACTGATCATTTTTCTATAACTTTATTATTCAAGTTTATGTAATAATTATAAACTATGTTAATAGAAAATATTATGAGATTTCAAAAAATACTTAAATATCGTTTTCACAGCACTTTTACTTAATACAATCGCTATAAATTGGAATAAAATTTAATAATTCGACAAAAATCGTAGTAATTATATTTTTTAAATTCTTTATACTATCTGATAGTACTATCAGATATTATAAATTTAATTAATCATTTTCTATATTAAAAAAGCATTTTAAATTAGTTTAATTGTTAAATCTAACAAAATAAACCTGAAAAAGTTTGTCATAACAATTATTAAAAATGATGATTCAAACATTTTATTTTTAAAATAACGTTTATATATTTATTTTAGATTAATTTTTATACACTAGACTTCCGCCCCAGACCCAGTGGCCTGAAGGCGCGTTAGGCTCTTCACTTCAGATAAGCCACTGTTTCCGGTTGAAGTACTCGGTTACTTAACCTCAAAAGCAGTTTATTAAAATTATTCCCACTTGTAAATTAAATAAAAATTATAATAATATGACAACAAAAAACTCATGTGTATTCACAATTATATTTCATAATAAAACTACTAATTATATTCCAATCAACAGATAAACGGAAGAAAACTTAATAACCATTAAAAACAATCTTTAAATGTCGTGTTATTAGTAAAAACTACACATACTAAGATAAAATTTAAACGAAATTGAGATGCGCAAAACAAAATTATATCATATTAAAAAATATGCGCGTGAACCTAAAAAAATAACCTCATATTTTATTGAAAAAAAACAAAATTTTCTGGATATCATTGGAGTGTTTCTGGGCAGGCCTGGTAAAAATTACATTAAATTGAAAAACGCTGGCAGCAATGAGCCTTTTGATAGACATTTCTAAACACGTCATCGAGTACTTTCATTAAAATAAAAAATGTATACATTATTATTAAAAAAAAAAAAAGAATGTACACAAACATTGTAAGGCTCAGATTTTGTCAAGCTATGTAATAATATATAGAGGGTCTCAGATCTACCTGAAATTTTAATTTAAGTAACTTTTATTTATTGTTTTTTACTAAATTATATTGTTTATTTACATTTTTTTTTATTAGATAGTTATTTTTGAGCTATAGTCGTTTTCGTAAAAACTCACTATAAGTGTAGTATACGAATTACAATATATTAGTGTCCCGACACTAAATAACTCATTGTCCACTAGAATGCTTTTCATTCCAGCGCACAGTGTATATGGTCATTGATTAAAAAATACACATAGATAGGCTACGACTATTGGCAACCAATTTTTTGTTAATTTTTACCAACAGGGATAGAGCTATATGTCGTCTCGAGAAATATTAAATACTTAATAATAACTGTCCAGCTTGTTGATATCCAAGTAATAGCCGCGATTATCGATGTACGGCTGATACCTCTAGGGCAAATTAAGATAAGGACCAGTTCTTTATTAAAAAACAATTGATTATTATTTGATTTAAATAAAATATTTCGTTTTACGTATGATATTTGAATTTTAAAGTTATTGGGCATAATTAATATGAAAAAATTAATAAAAATTCAAATATTGGTGATTAAACTTTAATATACGGTTATTATTTATATGTAGGATAATTTAACAGGCTTATAGTAATATATTTATAATATATAAAATATTTTATTATTATGGACTATTAGATGTGATTATTATATATATTTATATAGTAATACAAGTACAAAATAAATACTTATATAAAAACTCTGTGGTTTTGAGGCACAGCTCATATGATAATTTTTATCATAAAGATTTTTCAACTTCTCCTAATGATAAAATAATTTATTGGCCACTGCCTTCGATTTAAAATAATTTTTAAAATATTTAGAGGCCAGCAGATTAGTCTTATACTTTAATACCGCATTTTATATTTAAGTCCTATTAAGGATTCTTAGTTTAGTATTAAAATAAAAATTAAATTAAATTTCAAAGAAAAAATAATTACAAAGAGTTAAAATCATAATAAATCCTTACATCATATAATGAAATGCAATAGTATAACAATCACTGTTTAATAATGTTTATAAATGAATGATTATTGAAAAATGAATAATGCCACGTATATTACAACCGATAGGAGCACTTAAAATTTACAATATCTATTATTATAGTGGTCTGCGTCCATTCATGATAAAAATTGAACTGCCAAAATTGTGTACGGTCTGGCCTATCTATGTGTATTTAATCTATGCTATAGTGATAACAATATTATATTTGTATACAAATTGTTCGATACATCTGTCAAAATTACACTACTCAAGTGTAAAATTAACGTGTATAAAAAAAATATCATACTGATGTATTTAAATGTTTGGACTATTTCTTACAACGTACGTTCAAAGCGTATTTATAATTGTATATCTCTAATAAAAAAAAATACATAAATAAATTTAGATTTTTAAAATTTCGAAATAGAAATTTGTTAGCTCTTTTTTTTTTACAAAAAATTTTAATTAGACGATAATAATTTTAGAACAAGTATTCACAAAGTTACTAGTATTTCAATACGTACACTTATACGGGCTGTTCGAATCCGCGATACAAATCCTAAAATTGTTATTGACATATCAAAATTTATTGTTAGAAAAAGTCTAAAAAAAGGCTATTTTGAAATTAAAAAAAATAATAAAAAAAATTTATTAATAAATATACCTTGAACGTAGTCTAAGTAGTCAATAATTAGAAAAAAAATTCAACAAAAGATTAATTGTATCAAAAGGTAAAAAATGTTATTAATTAGATCTGAAATCTATTTTTACAAGATCATCTTTTATGTTTTCAAAATTTGTTAATTATCTATTAATTTTAAATACATATATATAAAATATGTATAAATTAATGCATTGCAGTTTATTGATGTATAATTTTATCTTTAACATGATTTATTTTTAATGTTGAAGTTGTTATTATTTTAATGTTAGATACTATATTTAAATTCGTATTTCTTCATATAATTGTGTTTTTAAGGTGAAATATGAGTTTAAAATTTGTCAGAAGTTTTTATTATGTAAACATAGCTAAAAATTATTTTTTGATAAAAATATATATCTTTTTAGTGTGGTATTTATTTTTTTTTTGCGAAGGGAAAAATTTATTTTAGTTATATTAAAAAAAAAATAGCATTAACCTACAAGAAATTAACATTTGCCAAATAATATTTGGTAATATGTTTCTGATAAAATCAATAACATAATGATGTAATATTTAGAATTCGACGATTAATTATTCTTCAAATTTATAAATAATATTCCAATTATAAATTTATTTAAAAAGATGGTTTCAAATTAAATATTGCAATTTAAAAGTGATTTTTACTTTAGTACATACAAAATCTAAAAAAAGGACGTTTTTAAAAATGCCTGTTTTTTACTGCTAAGTTAAATAGTTTCTGTGTACATAAAAAAACATTAATTTTTACTATTATTTCGTATAAATGCAATAATTATAGAAGAACAAATATCAGTTTTTAATAATTAGGAACTATATAATATAATATAACTATATATAATTATTATATTACTGTTATTCTTTTTAGATAAATTTTTTCAGTGTTTAACTCAGTTAAAATGTTAATTAAAATACTGACTGTTAATTTTATACTTTTCGTAAATTTGAATAATTTCGTATTAAGTCAAAGTAAACTCAACTGCTACTATTCTAAGTATATGCTTTATTATTTTAACACAAAAGAGATTTATTTTAAAAAAATTGCTTCACAAAATCCAATTCCTGTTGGTAAAATTGAAGAATTTGAAAACGAAATAAAATCTATGGGAGAAGTTGTTTTAACTTTGTTGGAAAATTTGTATTATAATTATGAAAACGAAACCGCAGTTTCAAGTACTAAAGATAATATTAATCCATATACCTATGCACACGGTTTGCTTACATTAAATTTGTATTTAAATAATGTTTCTAAAACTTTAAGACTTCATACATATAGTAATTTAACAAATGCAGAAAAAAAATTAAAAGGATATAATATTTTTATAATAGAATTTCAAAAAATTTACCAGAATATTATTGATTGTTTAAGACGCAGTATTAGCAATGATTGTTTCAATGGTGCAATGAATTATTATTACACGCAAGATTTTTGTTATGATAATAAATATGATAACAAACATATAAAATATTATTATTTTATTAAATTATTACCAGTCTTGTCAAATTACAATGAAAAACAAATTATAAATAATAAATTAGAAAAAATGCAAACATTGATAAAATTGGATGAAGTCGAAGTTGATTTTAAACTTACAATAATGAAAAAACCAAAACGAAATATGCATACAGTAGTAAAAATACAAAATCGCTTTCATCCGAATAATATTTTATTATTAAACTTGTTTAGAGATAAGAGAAACTTAAAAGAAAATGAATTATTATCTAATAGTTCAAACCCTATGGATTTATTAAGAAACGTTCCTATAAATGTAAAACTAGAAAATGGAAAATCAGCAAACGTAACCACATTATTTGAGATGATACAACGTGATTTTGATGTAGACTGTGTTTATTCATATCAGAAACAAATATTAGCTGCAACAATTCACCCTGTGTACTCTTTAATCGGTACATTAGTTATTTTAATGAAAAAAATTTATTTTAGTAAAGCTGAGGGTTACAGTGAGATTGAAAAACGATCTAAAGTATTTCGACAACAATTAATTGGTGTGAATGATGTAATTAAAAAAAGCATTGAAAATTTAGTAAGTTTTAAAATATTTCCCGAAAATATACAATGCCATTTAGAAGCCACTTTATTACATTTTATAAAAATTTCTAATTGTATTTATTTGGATAATATTGAAAATCTAAAACTTAAATGGATTGATCAACTTTATAGAAGGTGTACTAAGGCAATGACAATTAATTTATTGATTTTTGATGAAACAGTAAAAAATATTAATGTGTACAATAAAGATGAATGCAATGAAGTAATAATACGACTAGAAAATAAAGTCAAAGAAGTTCAATCATATATACAATGTTTAAGTTATTATAAAGAGGACTATCGCAATATTTTCGATCCTATAACACTGCTCTCCAGATCTTATGTATTAACGGATGATTTAGATTGCAATATAATAAAAAAAAACAAGTCAGGTAAATATTATTTGAGCATAAATATCATTCATGATAATACCAAATTTTATATTCTTAAGAAATAACAATTAATTAATTATTTTCTTAAAACTAAATTAAATTCGTTAATATTTGCTTTAATCTTCATAACTATTAGTCTTAATCCTTTTTTAAATTTAAATATTTAATCCCTATTACTTGAAACAACAGTACATGAAATTTTTGTTAGATCATACTGTAGTTATCAAAATTATAAAACACTCTCAAATTTTATATCTCACGCGTTTAGATTTTAGGTTAGTACACAATCGTAAACGTTTAAAGTCATCAAGTAAATGCATGAAGTTTTTTTATTTATACACGTGATCATTAACTTACAATACAAATACAGTAAATTTTAGTCATTAAATCATTCTAAAGGCTTTCAAAAAGTTTTCACTAACATCCTACTGCCTAATTTTTTATTCGACATATTATTTGAATAATTAAGTTTGATGAAAAAAAATTTCAAGTCGATCCAGTTAAAAATATTCAAACTACAGGCAAATAATAAGGATTTTTTAGCAACGTAAAATTAGCCATTTTTTTTTTTTTTTTTTGGTAATTGACTGTTAAATAAGTTATTAAAATTCGTATTAAAATTTAATACAAATAAATTTTATGCGAAAATATATAATATTAAAATGTTTAATATATGATAACTTAATTTTTTATTGTACTTTTTAACAATTAAGCAAGAAATTGAGCGTGGATAAATCATAGAAAATAAAAGCTTTCGGTTATAGCTTCGTTATCAAAAAAATAAAATAAGGGGTAAAAATGAAAATAAAATATACAAAATAAATGAACTGAAAGCATAAAATGTGAATGTTAATTTTCTATTGTCTGATTCAGAAGCAGATTTTTATACACTTTTCTAGAGGAAGGGGGCATAATGAATAAAATTTAATCAGAAATTTTCCCTTGTTCCCTCTAAATGATGGAAATACCCAAAAAATTACGATTTTAAAAATCATTAAATTTTGACATTCTTTACTTAAATCTGTCATAACTATTTAAAAAATGGATGAATCGAAAAATTTTTTTTTTATGAATGTTAAGTATTTTTTAAGTTTTTCCCATTCATCTGATATATATATTTAATAGAAATCTGACAATTGATCTGCTTATATAGTGGATTCAAAATAGAAACTTTTGTACAAAAAGTCTACTTTTTCAACAAACGGCAACGGGAGTTTAAAAAAAATGTTCTCTTAATGTAAATGCATACTTATTCGTGTTGCTTTAATTTTCAATTCAATTTTTTTTTAATTATTTATTTTTATATTTAGGTCAAGCAGTAATGTTATACAGGAAGGTGGGAGATAAATACCCCTTATAAATTCCCATTACAAAAAGAAATTTGAAAAATGATTTAAATGTTATAAATATTTAGCAGCTTTTAATGTAATCCAATAAGTATATTAAAAGGAAGGGAGCTACCCTCATTATGCTGGGTTTTTTTAATTTTAACTTTCGAACTTTAAAATATAATTCTTTGTATGAAGTAATGAATAATTTTTTTAAATGACATCATTATCAAAAAAATATTATTAATTACTAATAATGTGTTTACCTTTTTTTAGGTTATCATTTGATGAAAAATAATTAAGAATTATTTTTTTAAGATAATATAAACAAATTATTAATTCAAATTAAAACTATGGTTTCATTGTCGATTAAATAAATGCATAAATATAACACTAAAAAATTCGATTTCAGTTAAATAATTTAATAAATCTATATGTATTACTAATAATAATATGTAATCAGTATTAAAACTTATTTAAATACATTTTTATTATACAATTCAATTATATATGTTTAATACATCATTTAAATCATTTACCTCATTAACTTAACTATTTAGTGGGAAAATCATTTATTTGCATCAAGTAACTGATAGAAAGAGAATAAAAATTAAAAAATTCTTCATAACAAAAATAATTACTCGTTAATATTACTTTTAATTGTAAGAGGAAAAAAATACCTAGTACATAATCTTATATGAGTAATTACAATCTCAAATTTGATCATTTAAATATCCACAAACTGAATATCGAAAAATATCTTTAATTTTATATTACAGCAATAAAAATATAGTAAAATGAAGGTTGGTCGACCTGCAAACCAAGCCAAAAAACAATCAACCGTTACTATACTTAATATATTTTGCACATTTTGATGTGCTTTGGCATTACATCAGGTTGTAGAAAAATTGGTCTACAGAATTTTTTATAGATTCTTCATGTTTGTATCCAAGCTGTAAAATGATACTTAACGAAAATTTTACGTTTATTTCAACCATTCTTTTAAAGAGCAAAAAATATTACATATAAAATTATACTATCTATTGTTATACTATACTATCTATTGTTTAGGATTTTTTCCCTTATTATCATTATTATTTGGTTCATATAAAATTCTTATATTGTCACATTTTTAAGCAGTAAAAGTTACATAGAAATTATTAATATATTTTATTAAAATTATTTATTATGATAAAATTGCAAAAAAAAAAAATAGTGATTTTAACGAAATCTTGAGCTTTTCTCACAATTACCTGATCACATATTAATTTTGACAATACCATTATTTTAATTCTCGTAAAATTTTCTATTTACGATGTCGATTTCAAACTTTTAGTTCAGCTAAAAAAAATTAATGGTAATAAGTTCAACCTTTTCTTATTATAAACTTTTGTAGAAATCAAATTTATAGGACCAAAAATTAAGTTAAATTAATAATAAGGAATCTAAATTCTGCACAGATTATTTTTAGCATATTATATACGCATCATATATTAAATATAGCATCGTATTTAAAGTTGCTATATTCAGGTTGATTATTTTAATATTAGCCACTCAATTACTCTTTGAATAATAATTATCTTAAGAAAATTATTTTTGATATTTTTTAATTTAATAAATTTCTTGAATTTTAATGGCACATATACATATTAAACTAGTAAATGAAATAAAATATGATCTAACTAAAAAAATAACCGAAAATATTTTTTTAGTAGTACTTCAAAAGTTATTAACATTTTAAGATGTATTCGCTTCGATGCAAATCTATAGATAGTGATTAATTAAAAAAAATTGGTGGATTATAACAAAAGAAAAAATTAACTTCTATTTATTTAATTATATCCTGATTAGTAGTTTTTTAATTTATAAGTATAAACTTCGTCTTCTTTTTCCTCGCCTTTATCCCAACTACTTAAATTGGATAATAAAATATCAAGTAGTGAGGCATAACTATTATAATCAGTATCTTAATACAATAACTCCATTTTTTTGGCATTTTCCCATATAATACAATTTTATTAATGTTACGTATCGATATTATATAAATTAGTTGTGGGGATTGTTCGCTACTCGCCAGTGCGAACATCGGCACACACACCATTAACAATTATATTGTTTCTCAATAAAGACTTATTTTCTGTTTAACTATTTAATGTTGTCATTCATATTAAAAACACAAAAATGAAAAAGATTCATTTTATGCCAACAACACCTTAAATTTGTCATACTTCTACTGGCATTTCATCTGGTCCTACTGCTTTATTCTTTTTCATTGATGCTACAGTCTGCCATACCTCTTTCTCACTAATTTAATCTACCAGTCCCTTATTCCATGAGATATCTTTTAATGTCTCTCTTGGATACTCCTCATTCAGTTATTTTTCAAAATACTCTTTCCACATAATACTCTTACATCACTTTTTATACACCTTAAATTGCGATAATCATTAGACTATTTTTCATTTACTTTTGCCAAACTAGACTTTTTCCAATTTCCTTTATTCCTAGTCAATAATACAACTCATAATACTTCTTAACTTTTGTCTTATTTACCACACATTTGGCTTCTTTATAAAAGCGCTTGCACTACTTCCAATCTTTTCTCATTTAGCTCTTTTGCTATACTTTGAACTGCTCTTTGTTACTCTATGATTTTTTGAACGTTCTCATTCCACCAGCAAGTTTCCTTGTTTCCTGTATTTTTGCTCCCACTCTCATTATCAATATTCTTTACACAAATAAAAAATCTATTTCACACATCATTTATGTCTCTCTTGACATTCCATACCGTTCTCTCTTTTACCGCCTTTAAAAACCTTTTTTTTTCCCCCTTTCAATTTCTATCACTGGATACTCGATTCCTCCTCCTGTGTTCTTTCTGTTTTTGTATACTCTTTTCCCACTACTCCACAACTTATCATTAGTCCACAACTAATTACCATTAGTCTATGTAACGTAGTTATACTCTACGTAGGATAACTTTATAATCTTTTACTCGCCTTACATTCTCTCTCTTCCACAAAGAATAATCAATCTGTAATCTATTACTCCCACTTTTAAAAGTTATATAATGTTCTTCCCTCTTTCTAAAATAAGTATCAACCACAGTAAGATCATACGATACTGCGAGATCCAGGATTCTTTCTCCGTCCTCATTTATTCCACTAAAACTATACCCTCCATGTACTCTTTCATATCATTATCACTCATTATCTACATGTCCATTTATATCTTCATCTACACCTCATCCTCGTTACCAGCTATTCCTTGCATCACCTTATCCATCTCCAAAACACTTATTTGATTATTTCATCACATCCCACTTGTTGTGCATAGGCACTTATTACATTCAGCACTTTTTCTTCAAATATCAATTATACGACCATAATTCTGTCATTTTTCCTAGCTACTTATACTACTGTACTTTTCATCTCCTCATCCTTTATTATGCCTACACCATTCTTTGTACTAGACTTACCTGAGTATATTATTTTATAACCCTCACCTATTTCCCTCGATTTCTCTCCTTTCCACTTAGTTTCCCGCACACAATAAATGTTAACTTTTCTCCTCTTCAATACTTTTACTAATTCTCCATTTCTACCAATTAATATTCCAACATTCCAAGTACCTATTCTTACTTTGTATCTATCTTTCTCCATTATACACGAGTCCAGACTAGGGTTAAGTGGTGATGTCCCTACACCGTTGACACTACAAGCGCTGGGTAGACCTATACACATGACTGGTGAAACGGCTACCACACAAATTGTCCGGCTGGTATCAAACACTTTAATCCTTAGGCCTTCTCCGTTTTTCACTACTTTCTATTGTCCTCGAGATGGCAGAATCCGCCTAAGTTTTGTTCAAGATGCCTCATACTTTTTTGACAAAGATTTTTACGCCGGCTGTCGATCTTACACAACCTCATTAGTCGCCTCTTACGACTGACAGAGGGGCCGTGGAAGTATTCTTATCCCCTATCCACAGGTTAAAGTAACACAGTGTTAAGGTAACATATATTAAAAACTTTTATATACACAATTTTTCTAATTTTGAACTGATTTGTTAAATTTATAAATATTATAACATGTTTTTATTTAAAATACATTGGTTTTTAAAAATTTAGGTATTTCAAATATCAATAATAATTATAATAAACTGTTTTTTTAATATTTATTTTAAATTATGTCCTATGACATGTCTCAGTGTGCCCAAAGCATGGTCACAGTAAGACACCATAAATATTTTATAAAAAAAGTTTCTAGTTTGAAAAAGTGCTTCAGCTATTAAATTTATTGATGAGTATCTGAAGAATTTATTTATTTGCATTGATTATTATTATTAATTAAATAATATATTTTTTTGAAAAAATATAAATTAATAATATAGTGTTTTGGAAATATTTCAATAATAATTGAAAAAATTTTCCGAAAATAAAATCAGTTCCTCCAAAACAAATATGTAATATAACATAAGTAATAGAAATATTAAATTAATATAAATTTAATGGTCTATGATTATTTTATCCAGGAACTTTAAGTTCTCATTCACATGAACTATTTTAACTTCCATCCAAACATTTTTAATGTATAATAAATATTTAAAATAACATAGAGTATATTACTGAGATTTGTCTTGAAAGCTGAAGAGATTACACATTTTTAATTTATTAAATGATCATTTTGTATAAGATAACAAAATAAAGGACAGTCTTACAATTGAAAGCAAACCAAAAATGTAAAGAATTCAAATTTCAAATCCTATACATATTATATATTATCCTATACATATATATATTATTTTTTTAAAATAATGTAGGTAATTTTATTTGCTAATTAATACTTTAGTCTTTAATTATGTCCTAAAAAATATTAAGTTAAATTAAAAAAATTATTATTGATTACTTGCAGCTTATTAATTAAAAGTAAAAAATGTTAATTAATCTCGGTTTCAAAAATAATTCAATAACAGCGAGTAAGTATTTCGAAAATGATGTTTTCATCATCAGTGACAAACCAAAATTAGTCTCGGTTTATCATTAAGTTTGACACTTGGTTTTAAGCACATCAAAACAGTAAAATAATTGTTCTAGAAATTAATTTTTTTTACTCGTATAAATTATTATTGATTTATTTAAAATCCATTAGGAGCACTAGAAAATGTTCCATTAACTTTTACCTAACATAAATTAACTAATTGAAAGTGAATTAAATAATAAATGAGTAAAATATTTTCAAATTAAAATGTAAAACAATAACTCGAAGCATTCAATTGTTTATAATAATTTTATTATTATAGAATATAAAATGAAATATATTTCGGGCAAAGCAATTTTAGCGATTAAAGTTTATTTACATTTTTGTAATCAACAAAATATAATCAGAATAATTTAAAGTAGTCTTATACAGATAAAAATTTAAACATAAAACAAAATAAAATTTAAGTTATACAAATACAAATATATTAGAAATATCAATAAAAATACTATATGCTGTACATTGAAATGTATATAATCATAACACAATGATTTAAACTTTACTTTTCAGTAAATATGTCATCCGACAGCAAGCTGTGACAAAAATAAAAGAATTGTAAGGTATTTATATAATTTCAAAAGTCGGTGGTATGTTTATAACGGTAAAATATTGAAAATTAGGGTACGTGAACATTTGTCTTCATCAATATAATGTGAAAAATTAGAAAAATTGGCTGAATTACAATTTAACAATAATAGTAATCAGCATATTCTGGATACTTGAGATGTTTTCTGTTCGTGTAAAGTTTGTTGTCATTAGATAAGAATTTCGTGTTCATGTTGAAAAATCGCCCGAAAAACGTAGTAATAGGATCGTGTCTTTCGTCGATATAATTGTGGTTTACAAATAGAAATTAGATTAATTTACCTCGTTTCGACTTGTATTTTTAGGTATGTGCTACGTTGGGAACAATACTTCTCAGCAGGTCGAAGAGTTTTTTACCGCCTCCTTTGTACTCGTTACACATATTTTTCTCGAGACTGTAAACTTCATGTTTCTTATACGAAGGGCCGCCCCATGGGGGAGACGTCAATATGACCCGTGGCTTATATTTTTTTAACGTTTCTGCAATACCGAAGAAATCTCCCTGTATAAATGTAACTTTGTCTCTGACTCCATAAATCTCTGCGTTTCTTTCGGCGAATTCTAATTTTTTAGCATCGATATCCACAGCGATTACTCGTGTGTATCTCTTGGCCAATTGGATGACGTTCCCACCAGCTCCACAAAATGGATCCATAGCGACGTCTAGACCAGGACATCTCAACGCTATATGTGTGCTTAAGATCTCGGGACAAACAGAATAAAATGATTCTGAAAATAAAAAGGTATCGTTAATTGTAAAATACTAAAATTTGCTTAAATAATTATTTTATTACCATTGTCCATCATGACTCCTTCGTCGAATTTAGAGAATAATTAGTACCTCTTAGTCAATAAATGTTTTTTAATATCACGAGGACGAGTTCTAGTAGCATATTTTTGTTATTAGTATTTTCACGTCGTAGAGTTACATTTTTTTTAGTCTTTTCCAGGGCTTCTGATGTTTTAATAATTTCTATTAATTTTTAGACGGTTTTCTATGAAAGTTGTTAGAATTATTTATTAAAGTGTTGTTTTATTGAGTTGATGTGTTAATATTTTCCGTCAATATTTTAAACGGTTGAGTTGAAAGATTGTTTTTTGACTGTGATATGTTCGTGTTAATAGAATTATTAGCTAATACGAAAGTGTCTGTAGATGTATTGGTGAGTTGTTTTTCAATTCCCATTCGTGTAATAATTTCTGAGCTCAGACTTTTTCATTATTAAGTAATGAAATGTTCGCGTAAGGTGTTGTAATATTATTTTCTGGCAATATTTTAGACGGTGGGGTCGAAAGAATACTTTTCGACGATGTTATGTCCAAGTTCAATGAATTATCTATTAACGTACTTTCTATAGAAGTTTTAGAGAGCTCTTTTTCGGTTTCAATAATCGTAGTTGGCGCAAATTTATCTTCTCCGAGCGATTCTTCTACAATTGAATTATTTGTCAAAAATGGTATCTCCAAATTAATAGGATGTGTAGTCAAATTCGTGCGAGTATTCATAATAGGTTCTACTGTTTTAGTTAAATATTTTTTCTTCTTAGAAAATTTCATCACCAAAAAAGTCTGCAGAGATACAATTGCCTGTGCAATAAACATAATATCTCTGATTACTTGAATTGGAATTATGAAATATATGACTAACGTCGTTATCACAAAAAACAAATCCGAATCCATTTTATTTTTTTTTTTTGTAAATGTATGCACTCAAGAGAAAAAAGGTCTCTATACTTAGAGAAAAAAGAGTTTTAAATATATATGCGTACTAAATGATCACGGAAAAAAACTTAAGCATAAGATCACCAAACGGTGTCGATTTAAACAACATTTTTTATCCTATTTAATCAAAAAATAAAGTCTTGTTTAATTTTAATTTAAGCCAATTAATATAATAAAACAATTATTAAATTTGTTGAATAAAATGTGTTATATTTTAGAAACTATTTCTATGAAACCAAGAATAGAAATTTTTTTGTATAACATTATGTATAATTCAAAAAAATATAATTTAAATATTGGCTGAAAACAATCTATAGTGATTGTTAAATAACATATTTTACTTTGAATTAATGAAAAAATTTGTTTTAGCAACGTTATTTGTCGTTGGCCAATTAAGTCTTGTTTACTATTTATTTAAGCCAATTAATATAACAAAATATTTTTGACAATTGGCCAACAATTATTAAAATGTTTAATAAAATGTAATTAATTTAAGTTACAAACCGTAACAGTATGTTCATTAAATAAAGCTACTGTCAATTACTTAAAATTAATTATATCTTAAAAACTGTTTCTATAAATCAAAGAGTACGCATATTTTTTATAAAATTCATTCCATAATAACTTATTTCGGTCACTAAATTATAGTTGATTTTTATTCGGGTGTATACATGTATGAATTCGAAAATATATAATTTAAATATTGGCTAAAAACAATTTATGGCGATCGTGAATAAAATATTTACTTTTGAAATAATTTGTTTTAACAACGTTATTTGTCACTGGCCAAAAAAATCGGGAAAAAATTAGTATAAAAGATCTAGTAAACTAAAAATTCATTGGGACTTTTAGTCTAACCTGCGAAGAAAGAACATATAAGCTCTTGTGGAAGCCATCTAGTCTATAAGTCTCAGTCGCGTCGAAATCAAATTTCAAAAATCTTGAAAACAACGCGACATTCGCAAGTCGAACATATTGACTATTTCCAAAAATAGCCATCGAATTCACTTGCAATAATTATGGCACCGTTAGAGAGAGGAGATCGGATCGTCATAAGATATTATGACTACTTGCAAAATTTAACCGTTATCAAAGTAAATGACAAGAATCGTGAACAGCCCGAAGAGTATCGCGTTAAACTTCAAGGAATAAGTGGAGAATTTTTTGACACGTCCTCGATGAATATCCTTACCAATGTCATCAAAAAGAAAGAAATATTTAACATCGTAAGTGAAAAAAAAATATGTGTACATAGCATAGATATTTATACTTATATTTTTAAAGGCACTCATTGACAAAAATGAACTCGTATTAACACATTCAACATCTAAACAATGTCTCAACACTCAGATTTGGAATGCTGAGAATTTGAAACCCAAAAACGTCGGCAATAAATATGAGAAGACTTATGCAAAGAAGAACGCATATAAACCTGGACTTAAGCCGAACAATTACGCAACATATAATGCCAAACGTTATACGGCCCAAGATAGACTTATGAAATACCGTAAAACTGAGGAGCTACAAATCGTTCATCAAACTAATAAATTCAAACAGCCCGAAAATAGACAACTGTACAACACCGATAATACACGTTATTCAGCTCAAGACCGACTTAAAAAATACAAGAACATCGTTACTTCAAAAGAACCGCAGCTTAAACAATATGACATTAAGACCACAGATATGAACCGATTTGAAATTGAAGAAAAATGTTGCAAAGAACAAAATCTCAGCACCGACATAACAGAAGACCCATGTACTAAGAAACGTACATTAAAACTAGGCGAGACGCAAAAAGTTAGTTATTTATATTTATCATACAAACAATCTATTATTACAATAATCTTTCCACAGATAATGATAGTTCAAAAACGAACGAAGACATGTTATCTGGTACACACGATGGAGAGTAGAAAGTCGGTAATCACCTTGTGTGATAAACTACGAAAAATTGAAAATAACTTAAAACGTATCGAGAAAGTTGAGAAGTATGACATGTGCTTGATATTTTTTGGCGCTGAATGGTACCGTGGGAAAATTATGGACGAGACGAACGATGGTATGTTGAAAATTTACTTGATTGACACAGCACAAGTGATGTTCTTTAATCGAAAAGAAGTCTACGAGATGCCAAAGCATTTCGAAGGAGAGTCATTATTAATTGAAATCGTCGTAACACCTCCGCCAAATGAAATGCTGACTACTGTTTTTGCTAACGTAGAAGCAATAAAAACTATTGGACCGAGTACGGTGGTGAAACTGATTTAATAACTTGCTATATTGCCTTATAACTCCTATTAATTTGCATTCGACAGTCAACGAATATTCCCTACAGAAGTTTACATGCTGACAATGATGTCTTTTTCCATTAAAAATACTCTTGTTTATTTATTATGAACTATTTTGCATTTTCATCCGACTTCTTTATTTATTGTTTATATATTTGTTATATTTATTTGTTTGTTGTTACATTATTTAATTTTTCGTTTTTTTGCTATATTGTTAAATTTTTTTGTTCAATTATCTGTTTAATTTAAATAAAGCTGTTCGACACTTATAAAACATTGTTATCATTTAATTTTAACTTACTTATTTTGTACATCAATTAGTTAATACAATTTCAATTGTAAATTTGCCAAAAATTGCAGATCACTAGTGAATAATAGAGTATATGAAAATAATTTTACTCGTATATTTAATATATCTATGATTATATGTCTACAATGACTACTATTAATACTTTGATGAGTTATAAATACAAATACATTTTATTAACAAATCGCCAATATCTCAATACATGAAAACTTATATGTTACCGTCTTGATGGCCTACTAACTTGCAAGCCGACTTAACCAGTTAATCACATGGCGTATAAAACCTAATCAGAACAAATCTGCACACACAACTTTTATCTATAATTTTTTCTATCTACTGGACTATATACATTATTAACATAAATTGTGTAGTCATGCAATAAAACAAAGTGACACTAACCACATTGTCATATTTTGAATCCGAAAAAATTCATTACTCAATTTAAGTATAACAAATATTTATAAAAATATATCGAATATTAAAATAGGATATTATTATTTAACTAACAATTTAAGCATATATATATATATATATATAAAAAAAATAAGTACAGTATAACTTCAATTAGCCGTCCCCATCGAGACTATGACTGTGACGATTAACCGAATAGATGATTAACAGAAATTTTGTAACAAACATATAAAAGACATTTTAAATAAAACAAATTTATATTTTTTATACTAAAATATTCCAATAGTTTCAATATAAAGTACATTCATTTAAATTATAAAAAATAATCAATCATTTTTTTTGGTTTTTACTCTGGAGTGGTTTGTAGTCTGGTTTAATTTTTTACTATTCTTCGACGGCAATAACGTTGTAATGTATGTATTACTCGGTGCTCTCTTCGCATCGTTAACCCTCAGGTTGGCGAGTAAAAAGCAAAAACTGAACCTTTGTAAGCGCAGAAATAATATACAGAATATTAGTTTTTATGTAATCCCAATACTGAAATGTTAAAAATAACTATACTATGAAACAGACACAATAATACACTGTTGAAGAAGAAACATAATCTTTATTAAGGAATATTGCAAAAATACAAATTTATACGTTTAACACAAAAACATTTCACTAAGACCGCCACACAGGCACACACACACACTGCTTTCTTTTTTTTCCCCTGTTACCCTGAAGACACTCAATCTCTATCTCCCCTCTACGTATCATTGATGACAGTTGTAAATAAGCTGATAATCATTCAACATTTCACATAGCCTTCATCGTGTATTTCATATCCTAACCAACCTGTTAATTATCCTGTTGTTGATACATCATTGTTTATTCCATTGCATAGATGTACAATTTTGTCAAAACTTACAGTCTCGATTTCTTCAGATGTCAACGTTATTGGTTCAGCCAATAGTTTATTTCGTCCATTCTTCAAGTTAGACATTCTAAGATCAGATCCATTGGTGGTTATCGGGATGTGTGATGGCTTACGGGGACTTAGCCCTTTTGAAATAATTATTCGTAATTGAATCCCTCCCCCCCCCAGTAAATTGTAAAAACTAATGGTTTTAAGCATGTTGGAATAGAGTTAACTCGTCTATTTGGGCAGAATAATTTTCCGAATATCAAAAACCTCTTTTGAATCCTTACTTAATTTTAAAAAAACATATTAGTAAACCAAAATCAATCAATTTATATAGTTTTCAAAATTCAAGGATTTCGTGGTATGTAAATATATGGTAAATTTGAGAATTCTAAATTAAAAATAATTTTTTCAATAAAGAGTAATCAGTGTTTTTGTAATTTATAATATATTTTAGAATATATGATTATTTATACATATAAAAAAAAATGAAAATGCAAAATATGAATATTTAAAGTCGTTGAACATCAACTTTTAATCTTTGAATTTTGAAATAATATATTATATTACAATATAATACAAGGAAACTATTTTGTTATAAATGCTACTCGTCTATCAATACCGTTCATAAAGAATTCATTATTATTCGAGAACGAATTGGATATACCTTTCCGACATAATTATGTACCAGTATAGGAACTTTGAACGTGCGGTCAATGTATAGGACTGGACCATTATGACAATCATATCGTGTCTTGAGCAATACATATTGGATATAACGGCAGTTGAAGAAGTAAAGTGGGGCGGAACTGGTAGTATAAGGTCCCAAGGAAACACAAATTTTTACTGTGGCGGATAAAACACGAAAGGGAAGTAGTCTTTGTTATTAAAGACAAAGTTTTACCAGGTTTTGTCAAGTTTGAACCAATAAGTGATAGAATATGTTATGTAGAGTATAATGCAGATGGCCTTATATTATAATAGTAAATTGCTACGCACCTACAGAGGATAAAAATGAAGAATTAAAAAATGCTTTCTATGATGAACTGAACAGAGTATGTAATGGATTACCGTCAGGAAAGCCATAAATCAATATTGGTAACTCAGACCTATACGGAGAAGCAAATATCATCGCAGTTCTAAAAAAAGTAGATTGAGCTGGGCTGGACACGTGTGAAGATCGGAGGGTCCAATTGGACAGGTGACGAAATGAAGACTAAATACGAAGAGACTTAAGGGACGTCCTAGAGATCGAGACCGATGGAAAAAGGCAAGTAATTGTTACGGCAATGGAACTAAATGGCCTGTAAAAGCTTCAAAAGAAGAAGAAGAATGTTTTTGTGTATGACATTATTATCGTTCAAAAATTAACTTTTACTTTTTGTTTTTTATATTTGTTACTTATGTCTAGAGGTCTTAAATATGGAAAACTAACAAAGTTTGATGCTTATACTAGTACAAAAACTCATTTAACGCGTATTACTAAATGGACAGGACATTATAACGTAACTATCAAAAAAACTGACACTGTTCATACCTAGCTAATAACTCAATCTAAACTAGATGTTGCCACTATTAGGGAATATATTAAAAGTCTAATTGACATAACAATTTATTTAGTATTCAAAGACTGACCTAACACAATGAAAATAAATCATCATTAAATCAAAGTAGGGCACTAATTTAAATAATCTAATCACCTAATAATAAGTAATTAAAACTGAGAAGATATAACTATTAATTTCTTAATAAATAATTTATTTTAGGAAATTTCAACGAAAACTGTGTTTTATTGTCCCAGCATATACTTAAGTTCTCTGAAATATTCAACAAAGAAACAAATAATTTGTTTCTTTTGAATATGGTAACTAGTGTAATTATTACACTAGTCTCCATATTCAAAATAAAATAATTTAAATAAGTGCAAATAGTGTATGAGATTTAATTATAGAAGACATTTGTAGACATACTATTAGTATAATGTGTGAGCAACATAATAAATTCAAAAATCAGCATTAATAAAAATATATACAATTAATAAACACTAATATTACTATAAAATTTTTGCTTTATTTTTAGAAGTTATAAAGAAGAACAAATGCTTTATATTATGTTGAAGCTAAAGCTCAAATAATTTACAATGATATAATGGTGTTGACGTCATGTCTGAAAAATTAATAGAGTCAATCAAATCTAAGAATTAAATGTCACGTGCAATTTTTACTCATTGCATGATTCATAAAATAAATCTTTTGGTTGCAGATATGTGCAACATTTTTAAAGTAATAACCAATATTAATAAATTATGTTTATTTTATTAAAATATTATTTTGTAATAATTAAAAATTATGACAAAAAAACCTTTAGTTTTTTAACACAATTGAGTGTATATAAGTTAATTTTTAATTATAATTTAACTATAAGTTCCAATTAATTAAAAATATATAACTATGGTGAAAGTGTTCATTTCTTTTAATTACTTAATAGGATGCCATCTACTGTAAAATTATTTGAACAAGTAAAAGCTTTAAAATTACTTTTGAAGGATAGAGAGAGCTAGAAGTTATGATAAAATAAAAAATATGTTAAAGTTGAATTATTTTTGAGTGTTTTGTTAATTTATTTTAAAACTCTTGTCATTTTTATGTTTTAATAATAACAAATAAGGTATAAACATAACTAATTGTTTTATTTTGTAGGATTGGTTAAATAAATAAACTACTTAAATTATTTTCATTTACACTACATTTTGTAATATTTAATTCCAAAGTGAAATCTATTTTTCAATAAGAGTATAATAAAATAAACCTAAATATATGGAGAATTTCTTTTGGGAAAAATCATCTCATCAATTTTTTGACGCGTGTTACAAATCTGTTATGGAGGAGTAAAGTTTTTCAACTTGGCTTGGCCATCATAATGGCAACAACACCACTACATCTTCTTGGACATTTCAACATCGTATTATTGTAATGTAGTATATTATGTTTTTTTATTTTGTCTTGCACAGTGTGCACATGTAAATTAATTCATTGTTTTTTATGAGTTAGTTGACTATTGGTCATATTCTCTTATTTTAGTTAATGACTATATGGATTGTAACTATGGTTTGAAATTATGTTAGATAGTCAATTCTTTCACTNCAATTAATTCTATACAATTACTATAAATCACCACTCACTGTTTTAACTTTATGTGTGCAAAATGCTGTATGTAAATAAAAGATCATTTATTAGGCTGATATCATATTAATTGGATCTGTCTTAATTTACACGTTTCTGTTTCTATTATGACTTATGGATTCATATGTATTATCTTAGACCTCCTACTCATATTTTCTTTTGACATCCTTGACAATTATTTAGTTGTTATTAGTATTTTTATTGGACATACTTTTGTTAATTCAAGTCTATATATTTTGTTTATTAGTATGATTTAATTATCCAATAAATTTTATTTTGTTTCGATAATTAAAAAAAAAATGAACTAAAAATAATTTTTAATCATTGTTATCTTAAATTGAAATTAGTTTTATAACCTTTATCCCTAGGATAAGGTACCAATCCAAGGCGATCCGGCTTTGCCTCCGCCCATAGTGGACCCTCCTCGGAGTCCTTGTAAAGTTAGTCGTGTAGGTATTACTGTTTAGCTTACAAGCTCCAATCTTGATTCACTCTAAATATAAAAGATATTACTAAAAATATTCAAAGTAGCTAAAACATAATGTTTTCATAAATTTACATTTTAATTGTTATTTTATTTAACTTATTTTCATTAAATTTTTCTTTATTGGATACACCAACAATTATACCAGTATTAGTTTACTTTTACTTTTACAATTCATGAATTTTAATAATGTTATGTTATTATATATTCAATGAATTTTTAATTATTATTAATTAGCTAATCCTTAGATAGTAAAGAACTAACATCGCCTTTTCGTTTTCTTCTTTGATTATTTCTATTGAAAAGGTGGTTTCCTTCTACATTACGGCATTAGAGTATTTTGAGCAGTCAGATAATATGTTGTATAGTAAAAGTTTATCATAAATTGATTAAACATTTTTTAAAAAAAGGCATAAATATGTCAGAAAGTTCCATTGCCGTAACAATTACTTGCCTTTTTCCATCGGTCTCGATCTCTAGGACGTCCCTTAAGTCTCTTCGTATTTAG